AAAATATACATGGTTGATAAATACAGACAAATTCTCACCTGAGAATAGTTATGAGAGTTGTATTTTTTGCTGAAATAGAAATTATTAATATGGCTGGGTTAGAGTTTGGCCAATTATGTTCATCAGCTTAGATTTCCTGTTCTTACACACACATACACACACAAATAGAATTAAATGAGGTGATAAATACACTTATTAGTTTGACTTAATAATCACAGTATATGCATGTACCAACACATCTGTACACACTAAATATATAAAATGTTTGTCACCCACACAACAATAAAGCTAGAAAATATCTATTTTTTAAAGAAACAGTCTGCCTTCCTTCTCTTTAATTATGTAATATTTAAGCTGTATTGCTTACCTGCCTTCCCAAATTCACTAAATCATGGGATTATGGACAGAAAATTCCTATATTCCAATTATGTGATCTATTCACTACTCAATGTCACACTTCTCCAAGCTCACAATAAGTGAGGATATTAACTACTTCACAGAGCAGGTTGGAGGAGTTTGCAGACCATGAGATAAAACCTAGCACCAGGTTCCCAAAAGTGATGTGTAAGAAGCCTGGGCAGAAAGCAAGTACTGAAAAGCAAAATGAAAAGGAATATGCACTCACAGTGCAGCCAACAAGACAAGGGTCTAAATGGTGCTACTTTCAGCACTATTGAAGTGAGTCTTCACTGCCTTAATTTCTATAAAGTAAGAGAAATTCATGGCTGTCTCCAAAGAGGCTGCTAATCTTATCAGAGCACAAGAGTAGATGTAACTGGAAATATTGTTAAAACAGTGTCAGAGAGAAAAAATTAAAAACTGAGGGCTCCCTCAACTTTCAGTATTCCAAAGCTAAACATTCCACCCTCTGTGTCCCTTCATATCAGTGAGAATTATACATACTTCTGCAGGCCAGTCAGAAAAGATTTAGTTATAGCTTTATTCTTCAGAACACTAACAAAAGTTTCCAGAATTTTAAAGTATCAGAATGCCTTCATTTTCCTTATGGTCAAATAATCTGTAAACTAAAAGACTAGCATATATAGAATCATGATACTCAGAAAGATATATTCAATGATGTAAATACAGATAGGTACATAAACTGTCCACAAGAGCTTTAAAAGGACAGTGTCTAGCAGCCACCAGTACATGAAACGCTGGGCCAGGTATGACAGTGTGGATATTTTACCAAGCAAATGTGATTGAAAGTGAACTTTGGAACAAAATGTCTGTCAGCCAAGATATACGAAATTGAAATTCAAAGGTTTGAAAGTGGTCAGGTTGAAGATAGTATAAAGTCTGTGCAACAAAATGTGGCAGAAGGGGCAGAAACATATATTTAATGCAACTAAGCACATTCTTTCAACCCTGGTTTTAAAAATAACTTTCAGGAAAGCATGGGGGTTATAGGCACATGCTTTTGAACAACTCATTCACAGGAGACACTTAGTGTGGGTGCTAAGCCAGATGACGAAGATAAAGTACAAAACTAAAAGAGAACAATAAGGGAGTAATTCCAAAAGGGCACACAGGCCCAGCATCCAGCACTTGATGTTACTAGTGTAGATTGGAACATGGATGGTGTGACCAGAGCTTAACCTTGGGCAGGTCCATCTAGTCTAGTTATATATAAAGTCATCCTCTAAAGGCTTCGGGAAAATGGATGGGGGTGGACTTAGGATTACACAAAATATAAGAGTATAGCACATGTTATCTAGATTTTTCTACATTTTATAAAGTATTACTGAAATAAAAAGCAGGGTAGTACATACTTCACTTTCACTATTTTTAAGAACCTGAATGTTCTCTCTCACCCCTATCTCATAAGAAGGTAGGAACTGCATGAAGAGATCCAAGTAGCAACACACTAGGATTGTCAAAAAAAAATTACAGAATTCATAGTTAAATTTGAATTTCAAATGAACAAAGGTAAGTTTTTAGTGTGACCCTGACAGTAATGCCTGAAAATATTGCCTGAACTACACTTACAGGTTTAAAAAATGTTTTGCTGAAATTTCAAGTTTGACTCAGCATCCAGTATTTTTATTTTCATTATCTGACAAATGACCAAGGTTTAACAGTAAGGCAAGGGGTCACCATGTACTCAAGGATTCCAGGATTCCACATCTGATTCTACTTCTTAAAACACAACTAGGCCACCCATGCTATGAATACAGAAAGAAGCCTCTGAATTTCTGTATTCTTTCTCTTCAGAAAGGGAAGTGGACTGGGACTCACCTGAGTTCTCTCAGGAGAAAATTCCCCATCCTCCCACAGGAACTCTGCTTCTCAGCTCCTGGGTTTCGCTCCACTGGGAACAGCCTTGATGGAAGCAACACCAGGCCAAATGTACAAGGCAGAGTTACATGGGACTTCTGACTCTCACTCTGCCAACCACAAAGCATCAGGGGACTTGGTAAGGCAGACAGGGCCGGAACTATCCTCAAGGGGAGGGGAAAAGATGGGGGGGGCCACACAAACAACCAGGTTGAAATAAGTCTGAGTAGACCTAATTGTCTCAGCTTACTCCTTCCAGGAAATTCCAGGATTACAAGACTAAACAAGATATTTACCTATCCCTAAGGGTCTGAGAGATTAAAACTTCCAATATACAATTCTGAGTACACAAAGATAAAGTATATTCTTAGGAAAAAGAAAAGAATGAAACAAAATTTCTTTAGGCTCTGGCCATGAAAATCAAATCAAAGGCCAATGTCCTTTTCTGAGAGACAAAATAGGAAAGAAGAGGCATGAAAATGTAAGCCTTCGAGATGACTGAAGTTTTCTGAGCTGTGTAAAGAAGCAATCAGCTTTTCGGCTATGGCTCCAAGGCTGACATGAGAAAGAAGGCAGATATTAAAAATCCTCCCCACCATCTGGTCTTCCACTTCCTAACTGAATCACCCACTGAGCCACAGAGCACAAGCTGGGCCCAGTGATAATATCAGAGTCATAGTATCAGCAGTAGTAGATCAGCTAACAGCTGACCCTGAGCTCTGCCACAGGGTAATGAAGCCTTCCAGGTGGATGTCCTTGTTTTTTTAACCAACTCAGAAAACTGTGCTTTTCTATTCCAACTGCTTTTTTTAAGTCCCTGTCAGGATACAAGAGATGAGGAAGACTAACTGGAAGTTAACCAGTGGCAATCTAGAAGTCTGAAGTGCTTTACCATAACCCATGTTTTATATGGTTTCGGGTTTACAGTTTTCTTCAGTCTTGGGTGTGAATGGAAAGAGCCAAGGACTTGTACAATGCAGACTCTGACCTGCCCAGTAGGGGTCAGCATTTAGCCTTTGTGACAAGTTCCAGAGACATTCTTCCTGCCAATTCCTGCAACAGCCAGGAGCCAGGCCAAACATTTGTTTTCATTGGCAATGGGAGAAATGTGAATTCTCCAGACCCACCTCAGGCCTACTGAGCCAGAAACCCTGGAGTGGGGCTGCCTGCTAAAGCTCAGGAACCACTGCATTAAACCATCTCACTCACTGGATTTCCACATATAAATTCATCAATGACCAAGGATTAATTCACTAGGTCCATGCTGGTGGCTCAAATAACAAACACAGAGACAGGTCAACACAAAAGGTCTCCAGTTTATTAAGTATATTGTCCCAGAAAAAGATAAGACTAATTCTACTACCTACCACCAAACAACAAACTATAGAATTCATGCCCTTTCTCTGGAATAGGTGAGATGTAGATAAAATAAGTTTGGCTCATCTGTAAACCATTCTGCTTTGATGGTGACTATTAATGTTGCCTGAGCACAACAAACAAATGGGATATTCAGCTTCCTACTGACTCGGTACCTCATAGAAAAAACAATAGGCCCCCATCCTTTCAAAGTCATGACTTGACTTGTTCAGCTTGTTATGGAAAAATCAGAGACCAACAGCTGAAGTCAGGTGATGAGAGGGAGTTTAATTTTATGCTAGCAGACTGACCCACGGATCCTTCCATAAGGGAACCAGTAGCCCCTTCCAGTTTGGGGGTCTTTAATATTCATGTGAGGAATGCAAGCAAAAGGTATATAGCATAGCCTGTTCACCGCCTCCATTTCATCTCTTGTCTCTGAGCTTTTTCTACTCCAAAGTTCTTAATCACCATCACAGTCCAAGAGCGTATAGCATCCATTTGATGAGCTCTTCCATTTCTATTATAAGCTGAAGCAGTCTTTTCTGACCCATGGATGCCTTCTCGGCTAACATCCCCATCAGCTGTGCTTCTCTTCAGTTTCTTTAGCTCGATCACTTGCCAAGTTAAAACAAGTCCGGGTTTCCTCTGTCTGAAAAAAGACATGGCAAACTTTCCATTTGTCCAGATAATTAACAACTGTCATCTCTGTGCTTTCCTTGACAGGTATTTAATAATGTGGGGTAGGTTTTTGCTTTGTTTCATGGCATATTATATGCTTGGTATATAAATATCTAGAAAGTATACATAGGAAAAACGAAAAACACTTTAAAACCCTAGGAAGATAGACAAGACAATCTAACGGAGTTTTTTTTTCCTATATCATTATTTATTGAAACATTATATTAGTACAGCTCCATAAGAAATGTTGTGATCATCTGAGACATATACATACTGTTTAGTGATCAAATCAGTGTCAGAAGCACCTCTGTCTCCTCCTAAATGTCACTTCTACGTGTTGGGAACTCCCTTGCTACTCGCAAGTATTTTGATGATTTCTTTACCATCTGCTCATGAACATATGCACACACCTCCTAGTTTAATTTTTTTCAGAATGAAGATCATGTTTGTACATATTCCTTTTCAACCATTACATGTTTCCAAATACTACTTCCTCTTTTATAGAGTTAGTGAGATACAGTTGATATACAAAAACACTAAATATGGATATGTAAATAATTAGGATAGGTATTATAAAATTTCCTCAGCTGCCGCCGAGGTGCTCCATCCTTCCGAGGAAGCTAATTCGGTGTTGGGGGAGGCCCTCACTTCATCCAGTGACTAGCACCGCACAGGCAGTCCACAGCATGGCCTCGGGGTCCGAGTTCGCCTGCATCTACTTCGCCCTCATCCTGCATGAGGACGAGGTCACCATGATGGAGGATAAGATCAATGCTCTCATTAAAGCAGCTGGCATCAATGTCAATGTTGAACGTTTTGGGCCTGGCTTGTTTGCAAAGGCCCTGGCTAATGTCAACATTTGTAGGGGCTGGTGGACCTGCTCTGGCAGCTGGTGCTGCTCCAGCAGGTGGTTCTGCCACCTCTGCTGTGGCTGCCCCGGCTGAGGAGAAGAAAGTGGAAGCAAAGAAAGAAGAATCAGAGGAGTCTGATGATGATATGGGCTTCGGTCTTTTTGACTAAACCTTTTGTTAACATGCTCACTAAAAAGCTGGACCTTTTGGTCTGTGGAGAAAAAAAACATATTTTCTTAATATCATCATTAATATGTGCAAAGTATCCACTGTATTGATAGAGCAATTGCTTAAACTATCAGCTAAAGGAAGTATCTCACCTAGTGCCACTTTCACTACCCAGCAGAAGTTGCTATAGTCTAGAAACACCAGAATAAAAGATGAAGTTAACAATGCTGAAGTGCATGGGAGGTCTTGTTTCCCTTCTATTCAGCATCAGGACCTAAACAAAATGTTTCATGGATGAGTGGGTGTTGCATTGTGGAATAAGGAACTGCTTACAGGACAGAAACTTGGATCTATTCCATTCTTAGATAATACAGATAATCTGCTCTGCACACCCATCATAAGCACCCTTCCTAGAATGTCACACGAGCTCCTTCCTCCTCTACCCACTCAGTAAATCTGTCCCTGAGGAGGGGTCCTGGTCCCCTGAGAGAAAGGTGAGAAAATCATTTGCTTTTCTCTGTCTGGTAGCCTATATTTAAATTCTTTGATACCAAGAATTAACAATGTCTGGCAGAGAGTATTTGTGGAGAGCTCAGCCATAAATAGGAAAGACTTCTTTTGAAATATTTTTTATTCAGAAGCTATTACTTAAAAGATATGTATAATGAATATTTGAATTGCACAAAATTATATTTGGCTCTCATTTTACAAATGTGTTATCTTTATTTTTTATGCATCTGAGTGTTTTGGCTACATGTATGTAAAGTACACCATGTGCTTGCAATGCTCACGGAGGCCAGAAGATGGCATCGGATCCCCTGAAACTGGGGTTACAAGTGATTGTTAGCCACCATGTGGATTCTGAAAACAGAATCCTGATCCTCTGCAAGAACAGCCAGTGCTCTTAACCATTGAGCCACCTCTTCAGCCTTCAAATGTGTAATCTTTAATACTGAAAATAAGCCATATAATCCTCACTGACAGACTAAAATGCCTTAAGTTCTTATCAAAATCACAAAATTTACTAAATGGACATGACATTGCAGATTGGCCCTACAAGGACCCCCTCCACTTCTCATTAAATGAACTGTGATCATCAATTTGGCTTATCTTCCAAAAAGTAGAAAATTTTAATGTAAAATATGAATGTTATGTCAATACAACAAAGCTGCAATTTGAGGGCAGGAGCAAATTTTGATGTTTATTGCTCAGAAGGGTAATTATGGCTAACAATAACAAGGTATTTTTAATGCTCTGTTATTGTTTAAGAATTTCATACATGCATGTAATGTGTTTCAGTCAAATCCACCCTCCATTTGTTCCCATCCAATTCGTCCCCTATACCCCGCCCCATGATTTTCCTTCCAAGCTACATGTGGTCTGTTTTTAAACCCACTGAGTCCACGTAGTGCTGCCAGTATGTGCATGGATATAGGACCATCTACTGGAATATGGGTATCCTCTCAGGGACTGCATCCCTGAAGAAAACTCGCTCTCCTCCCAGCAACCATCAATTACTAATAGCTCCTCAGCTAGGGTCAGGACCTCATGAGCCAGTTCCCTATCCATGCTGGGAATTTGGATGACTTGATCTGATGCAGGTCTTATGTATGCAGTCACTGCTACTGTGAGTTCATGTGTGCATCAGCCCTACCACATCTGGCAAATAGTGTTTCAATGCAGATGTACACTATCTCTGACTCTTATGCTCTTTCCTTCTCCTCTTCCATGATTATCCTTGAGTCTTAGGGGGAGGGAGTGTGACACACATGTCCCATTTAATGCTGAGCACTCCACTATCTTGTATTCTCTACATGTTAACCAATTGTGGGTCTCTGTAATCGACATCTACTAAAAAAACAAAACAAAAAGTTTCTCTGATGAGACTTGAGAGATTCATTAATCTATAGGTATAAAGATAAGAACTTAGGGGGCAGTTTAATACTGTGTCCACTTAGCAGAATAGTAATATTGGATTCTTCCCTAGGGTCTATGACATAGCCAGCCATAGAAATTTTTGTGTCCAGTTAGTGGTACAAGATGTGAATTCCATTTTATGGAGCTGGCCTTAAATCCAATCAGAAAGTGGTTGGTTTCTCACATAACATCTATGCCACTATTTCACCAATGGGCATATCTTGCCTGGGCAGTCATTACTGTAGCTCACAGGGATCACAACTCAGTAAGATTGCTGACTCATTTTCTTTCCTGGTAGTGTGCACATAACCTTCCGAAACTATGAAAGCTAGCCGGTAAGGATGAAACTTCCAAAATGGTTACTGCTTGATTTCTCTATGTCCTATCATTCAAATACATTGTGTTTTCAGCAATAAGGTCTTACCATCAAGTTCTGGAGGGTAACTAAGATCAATGGCAATAACCTTCAATGTTTGTAGGAGACTATGAGACCCCACTGACCAAATACTTGAAAAGAGGAAACTCATACTGTTTTTTTTTAAAAAAAAAAATAGAAATGGTGAAATTTTTTTTTCAAGAATTTAAAATGTAGTTTTGACATGCTGTGGAGCAGATTAAGATATGTTAAGACTCATATACTGTGTGCTTGATTTAAAAAAAAGAACAAAGGAAAAAGAAAATAATAGTAAAATAACTTTTAAAAAATTTATTTATGCTTGTTTGAGACAGAGTCACTAGGGAGCCCAGGCTGGCATGTAAACCTGTTTGGTCCAGGATTGCCTCAAATTTACAGTCTTCCTGCCTCTGTGGGCTTTTTATTTTATGGCCTATGGTGTCAAGAGTAGATATTATCTCTCCATTATAGGGTAACTCTGTTTAAATTCTGTGTGTGTGTGTGTGTGTGTGTGTGTGTTGTAATATAATTGAAATGGCAAAACTAACTTCATTTTATTCTGGCTGACTTTTACCTACCTTGTGTTTCTGCCCAACACACACCCCACATACACTCACACCAGCAGGGCAGAACAGCCATGCAGGATGCACCTGTAGTTTCTACAATACTGGGAAACTTACATCTAGTCAGGTAGCATGCCCTCTCCCAGCTCCATTGTTTTAGCAATTCTGAGAAACTTACTTTTCCTATCCAAAACTTTTCATTAACTGAAAACCTCTTTGTTAACTGACCTGACACTGGTCTAGTGTAACTATGGTGATCTGGTGTAACTATGGTTATTGGCTTTGCCCCTGGCATGGTAAAATTGTGGTTTATAAACACTGCCCTGCTTCTCTTAGGGGTTGAGATTCTTTCTAGCAATAGCCCCTCTCAAACACTGGCTAATTATTAAAGGACTCTTAATTAGACCATCACTACGTGACATTCTTCTGTGCCTCTCACTTGGTATTACATGATTGTATTAGGAAGCTTCTACAGCAGTAGGTTTCTATATGGCGTTTCCACAGTCTTTACTATTAGTTATTCCTCCCCACACTCTCTCCTCTAATCCTGTCCTCCCATCCCCCACCCTATTTTACTTTTAACTTTCCTATTCTGTTATTCCCTTTTCTACATAATGTATATTTCAAAAGACCTAGAAATGAATATTTTGAATATTCACACCATGAAGAACTGATAAATGTTTGTGTTTTTTGAAATCTTTTATTGTGCTTTTGCAATTTCATACAACAGTTTTTAATCAAATTTAGACTCCTTCCCCCACCCATGCCTCCCCCAGCCCCTCACCAGACCTCAGGTATTCTACTATACATGTTAAGTCTTATCCAGTCAAACATTTGTACCCAGATGTGCTTCAGTGTAAATTAATCCACTGGAGTCTAGTCAGCCCATCTAGAGATTGTATGTAAATCATAATCTCCCTATCATAATCTCCCTCACCCAGTAGCAATCAGTCTCCAATAGTTCTCAGTCTAGGGCCAGCCTGCCATCAATTTCTCTCCTCCCTTCTGGGCCCTTGTTTAATTGAGTTGGCATGGGTCCTGTGCTCAGTGTCACCACTGCCACAAGTTCATATGTGCAAGCATCCAGTGGCCTGAAAGCCTCTGCTTCCCTGTGTTGATGAACGTGCCATGGCTCTTACAAACTTTCTGTCCCCTCTTCTGCAATGGTCCCTGAGCTGTAGATGGGTGAGTTTCAATATAAGATCTCTATTCAGGGATATGCATTCTTCAGTCTCTTATTCTTTAAAACTTGGTCAGTTGTGGCCTTCTGTGTACATTGCACTCTGTTGTATGAGGAAGCTTTACTGTTGAGAGTTGAGGGATGCATTAGTTTTCTCACTACCTTTAAAGTTCTGCTATGTTCCATGAGCCTTATTGGAGCAAATCAATTATAGATGTGTCATCTAGTACTGGGAATCTCTCAGACATATATTCTTTGTGTTTGACCAGTTGTGCAATTCTGCAGTAGCCTCTGTCTGTTTCAAAAAGAAGTTTCTTTGATGAGTGGTATATAGTATACTTGTCTATAAATATAAGGACCAATACTTAGCATATAGTAAGAAATTTCATTTGTCTAGAGATATGAAAGAGATGGGGTTTTCTCTATGATCTGTGTCTTCTCCTGCCATGTGTATTTGGCTGTGTTTACAGTGCTACCCATGAATTCCCTCCCACTGAGAGGGCTTTAAGTCCAATTAGATAGCTGTTGATCGCCCCCCAGATAACAGTGCCACTAATGCACCGAGGTCTTCAGTCATTGTGGTTATTAGACTTTAGGGGTGGGTTGGACCATTGATTGTTTTTCTCCCTTGGCAGTTTTCATAGCATCATCTAGCATTACGATAGCCAAACTTCAGGTAGAAGGCATTCAGGTCAATTCCTGCTCCATTGCTTCAAGTCCTGTTTCCAAAGTATGTCCTGTCTTCAGCATTAGGGTGTTATCTATTAGTTCTGGGAGCTAACCAAGAGGTTTGGCAATAACCTGTGTTATTTTGAGGGTCTCCTGGACCACCCCAACGAACCACTTGAAGGGACATCTCTTCTGTCTGGTACTGTATTCCTTGCCAAGCAGCTCCCAGGTATACATATGCACTAATATTCAGACACTATATGTGCATTTCTCATGGG